GCGGACTTCTGTGATTTCAAGGCCAGCGGGTCTATATAGTGAGTTCCAAGCCAGCTGGGATTGCAGGGAGACCCTGTTTCAAAAAAAAAAAAACTGAAGACATTTTATTTTAAGTCAGAGTATTAATGATGGAAAAAGGATATTATATAAGATATGATTATAAATTATTATATTTATGCAAAAATATGAATACACAAAAATGCATATTGATACATGTGTAGATAGAATCATATCTACAGGAAACATAGTTGTGTTCCCAGTACTGTGGCTTTTTGAAGACAGTATGCTATTTGTTAATTTAATATGGAAATAAATTCAATCTGTTTTGCTTTATAAGGATTATGTGATAATTTGTTTCAATAGTTGCTGCATGAGAACTGATGAATCCATAGTACATTATCAAGGCATCATTACTGTGAATGAATAATGCCTCATGCAAAATTTATGAATGACATCAAAAGGTTGATTTGCTTTAGTTATTGAGTGCACTAAGAATGTATTTCAATGTAAAGTAGCAGTGCTGGGCGTCAGTCCCCTGCTAATTCAAAACAGCCAATCCTGAATATTTGAAATGAACTATATTTTGATTAATAAGATGATTACATGGAAGTCCAGTGAATTGCTAATATTTTATTAAACTAAAATTTTAAATATTTTTGTACATATTGTTGAAGGATATTAATAAAATTTTTCTGTAAAGCTAGAGAGATAAGTGAAAATAATCATTAAAAAGTTGTAAGTATATTTATATGTTCATTCATGACTATAATAAATTTTAGTGTTGCTCTTTGAAACAAACAAAAAAAATTTGAGGGGGGAAGTTTAGAACCCCTGTCCTAAAATGTTTCTTTGATCATATAAAGTTTAGCTAGTCCCAGGGTATATGTTTGTTTCCTAACAGGTCCAAACTTTGACCAACAGTGTATAAGTAGGATGATATGTTTAACATTGAAAGGTGTCCTTAAGCCACATTCTTTGATGGTCTTGTTTTTCAGAAAAAAAAAAAGTGATGTATTTTTCCATTAGCCAATTCTGTTGGACAAGGAAACATTGTTTAAAAGTGGCCCCTAAGACCCAGACATCCACCAGTCTGCACAAGTGCACCACCAACACCACCAGCACAGTTTTGTTTTTTGTTTTCTTTAACATAGTTTCTGGGGATTGAACTCAGCGTGGCTAGCACTTTACCAACGGAGCTATTTCCCCAGCCCTCTACCATCTTTATAATTACTACTGTTGCCATAGAAACCAAATGCCAGTCTCTTGAATTCCCAATGCCTTGCCCTCCATCTTCCCTACATTCCAATGGTAATCTTTTGGTCTGATGCCACCACATGCATGTGTAAAATTCTAACAAATATCCTGAAGACAACCACCAAAGTCCTAATAGTTATTGTCCTTGAGGGAAGAAGAGAGAAATTGGGTGCAAAAGAAGAAAAAGGAATTCCATGTTAGTTCCAATACTTTATGTCTTTTATTATTTTTTAGAAAAGTCTAAAGCAAATATGAAAAATATTACCATTTATAAATCCTGCGTGGTAAAGTTTTATTATAGTCTTTTTGTATTTTCTATAGTCTTGTATTTTTCAAATCCCCCCCATTCACCATACATCACTATTCATTATCATTATGAAAGGTTTATCCCAGGATACACGTTGACAGAAACTGAAAAAGTAATTCATAAAGCCATTACATTAACAAGTAAAAACATATGCAAGGAAAAAAATCACATCAAATATCACATGGTACAAAACCCAGAGTTATAAAAAGCAAAAGTTGTCATTTGCCCCTTTGGCACAAATTTCCCTTCCCCAAAGCAAAATACTGTTACTAGTCTTTAAGGTATATTTCCAAACTTCCTTAATGGAACTACAATCACATGCGTCAATTATAGGAGCATAAGATAGACATTATTTTACATGTTGTTTTGTTCACAATACAGAACATCTTAAAGACTGTCCCACAGAAACTCATCTAAAGAAGCCCTTTATGGCTTCATGGTATTACAATGTGTGGTGGTACTCCATAAATCAATCCGTTAGACCCTTTGGGGTAGATATTTACTATTTTCTGTTTTCTGCTACTAGAAACAAAGTCCTATACTTCTGTCCAGAAGTCTTTTACACATGTTGGAATATTTATGAAGAATAAGTTCCTTTTTTAAAGAGGAATTGCAAGGTAAAGTTCACATGCATTTAAATTTTTCATAGCTATTGCCAGATTGTTCTGTACAGAAGTATATTATAGTATTTTCCCGCCAAACAGTTATGTTATCATACCTACTATTTTATCAGTTATATTAGTGCTGTCATAAGTAATGTCTTTGTGTGCTTAGGAACTATTTTAATTTTTTCTGTGTTCCTTTATTTGTTGCATTCTTTGTCCATTTTTTCTTTCAATTTTGAAATTTTTCATTTCTATGTATAAGAACTTTTTTTGAGACAGGTTCTCACTATAGCCCTGACTAGCCAGGAATACTCTATGTAGACCAGGCTGGCCTCAATCTCACAGAGATCTGCCTGCCTCTACCTCCTAAGTGCTGGGATTAAAGGCCTGTATCATCACGCCCAGCATGTATAGGAACTTTTTAAACACTTAACCATTGTGACATTTACAGCAGTATCTCCTCGGCATGCTGTTTCTCGACCTTTTTGTCATTTTTTTCTACAACAATACTTTTATTTGAAATAGCCTCTATTTTACATTCCAGTTTCCGATTGGAAGCCATACTTAGACCTTTCCCACGCTGAAATTCTTGAGCAAGGCATTTATCATATAGTCCAAGTTGTAGGAAAACTTTTCACCACAGATTAATTCCATTGTTTCATATGAACATGTCTGAAACTTTAAGTACATTTTAAATAAATTTCTTAATAATGTAACTAGTAGCCCCAAACCAATTCTACCAGGTTTATACTCTTAACGATAAGAACTTTAAGATTTCTTCTTAGGGAGGGTTGCCATGTATTTATTTATTTATTTATTTATTTATTTATTCATTTAGTCTTTTTGAGACAGGGTCTCCCTATAGCCCCCATTGGCCTGGAACTCACTATGTAGACCAGGCTGATCTTAGTCTCACACAGATCCTCCTGCTTCTGCCTCCCAAGTGTTGGGATCAAAGGTGTGCAACACCACGTTCGGCTGCTATGTTTTTATTATAATTTTTTTAATCAACATACAAGTATTATATTTCTTTTCTTTTTTTTTTTTTTTTTTTTTTTTTGGTCTTTTTGAGACAGGGTCTCCCTGTAGCCCCAGCTGTCCTGGAACTCACTATGTAGACCAGGCTGGCCTCAAACTCACAAAGATCCATCTGCCTCTGCCTCCCAAGTGCTGGGATTAAAGATGTGTGCCACCACGCCCGGCATTATGGCATTTTCAAACAAAATTATTTTTGTTGATTGTTCTCCCCACCTTTTCTGGCCATCCCCGTGCTCCCTCTTCTTATATGTACCCTTCCACCTCCCCATCGTCCCTGCCATTTTCACGTCCCATGTGTCCTATCAGTCCTGCCCCCTCCCTTCCCAAAACCTCTTTTTCTGCTCTTGTGATCCCCTCTCTAGTTTCACACCTACACTCACACTCACCCCCACTTACATACATGAATATATACATTATAAGCTAGAATCCGCATATGAGAAACAACATGTGATTTTCGTCTTTCTAAGTTACCCAGCTTAATACTTTCCAGATCCATACATTTTCCTACAAATTTCATGATTTTGTTTTGCTATTTTTAAAAGATAATTAACTCTGAATGTTTTTAGTTTCTGTTTCAGGAAAAAAAAATGGGTTTGCTTGGTTTTAAATACAGAATTTCTGAGAAAAATAGGAAACGTGTATTTTTCAACAATGACCTGTGAAAGACCTTTCAGCTGAAGTACTGAAAACACACACACACACACACACACACACACACACACACACACAGATATTAGATTTACTTTATCATTTCATAGTTACTAAATTAAATGTAAAACAGAGTAAATCATAGAGTCTGTGTATTCATCTTGTTGGGCCCTTTATCTACCAAATCAATAAATCAACACAACAAGTCTCCCGGTGGGCCTTTAATTTTCCTAATTTTACTGTCATGTAATAACTCTAGAGACTCCACAGGAATAAAATTAAAGCAAAATAAAGAGCAGAGATTCTATATAAGCAAGTTATACATGAAGTTTTTGTTGTTGTTTTGGTTTTTTTAGTGGGGGGGTCTTTTTGAGACAGGGTCTCCCTGTAGCCCCAGCTGTCCTGGAACTCACTATGTAGACCAGGTTAGCCTTGAACTCACAGAGATCCGCCTGCCTCCGCCTCCTGAGTGCTGGGATTAAAGGTGTGTGCCACCACGCCTGGCCTACATGAAGTAATTTTAAAGATAGTAATATAAAACGCTCACACTAATAAGAGGCAAAACAGAAAATAATAAAGCAATATAATGTGATCTCACAAAAAATGTAATTTATAGCTTGTGATCTTACATTGCAAGACATGCCCTGCTTATTCCCGACCCATACAAGTAGCTCTTCTCTCATGAGCACTTTCCCTTTCTGAATAACCAAACCATCCTATTACCTATTACACACACACACACACACACACACACACACACACACACACACAC